AAAAATGAGGGGGAAACACAGTGGGAGGAATCTCCCCATGGTGACAGGAAATCCTGCCATCCTGTCACTGAATTACTTTAGACATAGACATCCACTTACTCGGAGAAAATCACACGTAGCACAAGCCTCCACCTGTGTTTCACAATCAGCACACGCACTCAAACTAACAACTAACCTCTTCTCCAGGTCGGTCGATTGCTAATGCTGTAGTGTGAATGTCGGGTCAACACACTAACAGATATGAACAGCTCAAAACCTTGTAGCTCTCTTTAACTGACCCCAAAAAAGACATGGTGTGTTTCATACTATGAGCTTGTTCATGTGCCCTCAAGCTGCTGCCTGTGTATGTTCTGGTGAATTATTTATCTCACTTCATGTCTGCTCTTTATTTATCACAGGAAGAGAGGGCAGGGGGTGTTATGACATAAACCCCTTCAGATAATTATACTAACTTTGCAAATGTGAGTGTCTGTGTCTGTCCTCTGTCACAATTAAAGACCTTCTAATTGAGAAAACAAGTAAATAAAAATGTATATATACACATGCATTTATTCAATATATAATATATAATCTATCGAATAAAGAATCACCCAAAATATTGACGAGGACACAACAGTCCTGTCTGTGTTTATGAGTTGTTTTTGTGGATTTTTTTTTTTTAAACCAAAGGTCTATGACCTCTAAGAGGTATGCAGCTCATTTAAGAGAAGATGAGCGTGGCCTTGATGGGTTTGTTTTTGAATTACTGGTAATAGGAAGGAAACTCAAAATGGCTCTAACATAAGTTACAGGTAAGTGAAACCTTGTACAACAATCCTTTTTGTTTCAGTTAAAGCAGACAGAGCCACCATAAAGGAAAGAAATGAGAAACAGAAAAAAACACAGACATGCTGTCAGAGGTATTGCCACATGGACATACTTGGTGTTCATTTCAGTGTCAGGTGCAGATGAAATCCTGCTAAAGCAATTGTAATTAAAGATGCATATAAATGACAGGAGGTGCAAAGAAGCCCAAGAATGTGTGTGTTACTTAGACATGATATCACACATAAAGCAAAGAGGAAACCGACACAGAACAGGACAAGCTTCTGTTGACAAACTGACAGGATCCCTACCACTGAGTGTCGACAGCAACTTCAGCATCTGCTCCAGGTCCGGCACTGACTGCTCTTCTTCCATCCTTGCACACCAAAACTCTGCAGACTGTCCTCACTGCTCCTAAAAGAGCACGGATGCCAACAACCATTAGAATCTAAAAGTGAACCTGTGACTAAAAGCAATACTGACGCACACTGAGCAGCGGGAATAATGAAGAGAACAGAAACAGACTAATGCACTAGTCAGCAGTGTACAGAGAGGGAGGGGAGGAAGGAGGCACTTCTGCAGTTGAGAGACCTGTAACAGCCAAGTTTATAGACATGGCCAGGGGAAATGTCCAGAGCACATGGAAATTAAAGAGTCATCGGGTTATCATGTGTGTGTGTGTGTGTGCGTGATTTCCAAGGAAAGTGCACAAACCCACCTTTGAATTCAAGTTCCCACTACCGCAAATATTACTTTCCAGATCAAATAAAGGATGTCAGGCAGCTTTGGCTACTTCCTACAAAACACACTGTACATGCAACAAATTCAAAAGGAAAAGGAAAACACATTTACTTTAAAACACAAAACTAATTTTGTTCTTGATACGAGCACTACATGATAGAAAATGATTCACTAAACCCTTCCCTTAAATCAAGGGATTACTCTGTGCAGCTGATTGAAGTAAATGAATAAGTCATGGCTGTATTGTAGGCAGGAAACTGGACATTAAGAATGATGCATGCTCAGCTGTTCGGTTTTAATTTCACCTCATTTCAAACTGAATTTTGTTAGAGTCATCAGTTTACCCCACACCATAGCCTAATACTCCAGGGAATTGTGTAATCAAATTAGCATTAAATTCTCTAATATGAATTAACATATACGTGCTTTGTCTGGTTCACTGCCGACACAACAAATTATAAAAATGTACAACAGCACCCTTGTGGTCACAAAATCTGATGGGTCACAGATTTCGGTGTAACGGTGGACCAGTTCAGTTCAACTGCCACCTTCTCCACTCTTTTACCTCTTGTGGGAACTTTTAGGGGTTATTAAATATGCCCACTATTCACTGAATTATTTAATTATCTGAATAACCTTTTTAAAAAGCTTTAAAGTTTTAAGACTTTTTGAGATTAAGAGTGGAATGTAAATGTTCAAGTCAGACACACAGTCAACAAGTAACTCCTCTAAAGGGGACACAATGACATCTAGTGGTCTAAAAGGGATGTGCAAAAACATGACATGAATCCACACAACAAACCCACCGTACTGTATTTCCAAGGTACTGAACTATTTGTTGCAACTAATTTTACACAATATAAGAGTAAAACAGAGACACCATGAACAATTTGGCTTTTGAATTTAACCAAAATGCACACACATTTTGTAACTCATTTGCCATCTTCCCTGTACTGGATTCACAGAGGAGGGTGACATGAAAAATGGGGATGAAGATTATATTTGACAAAAGTTCTCATCTTGAACCAGGGTTGTCACACAGCCCAAAAGGAGGTCCTGTTGATGCCTAAACTAAATCTAGTATCCAGTATCACATCTTTTTGCACATGAACAGTAAGTGAAAAGGTCCACACTGAATCTTTTATGATTTAATACTTAAATTTGTCATTCTTCTTTTGTCAAAGATTAAATAATCTGTATTGTAGTGCAAACTGTTGAGACTTTATACAGTGTTTGGCCCAAATGACTTTGGTTTCAAATTTTGCTGTGTATATGATGTTACAGATGATGAGTAATGGGAGCAATGGGTTGCTTTCGCAGGTATGTAATGTTGCAACTGTGAAATACTCAGTCATAAACAGATAGATACACATACACACACTGATATGTTGTGTATCTGCAGAGCAGGCATTTCAACAGTTTTGGTCATATATACAATACATAACCTACAGTATGTGCTGATCCACGGATTCTTGAATCCATCCAACACAAATTTCAACTGATAAGACTTCATTATAGTACAATTGAAAGTTGAGTGTGTTGTATTCAGAATGAACAAGCTTGTAACTACTGATGCAGTCTACCAGGAGGTCTAGAGTGGGGAGCTCTACCATTGAGCTATATACAAAAAATGATAAATTTGCAGATAACCCTCCAAAATACTAAATGCCTGTGCACACGTTCCCGTTGCGTTCTGTTCTGGGGGACTCACATATCCAGTCAGACAATGGTATAAATCACCCTTTCCATACACCTCATGGCACAATGCATGCCCCACATTTAGGCTACTTTGCATCCACTCCTCAGCTGCTGACAGCCATGTTGTACTTCTCCACCATTATCTGCGTCAAGTTAGGAACAGAAACTGAAGACAAAACCGGAAATTTGTCATTTTTCCTTCAAAATGAAAACAAACTGACAAACAAAAATCAAAGTTAGAGCTGCAAGATTAGAAAGATAAGAAATGAAACTATAGCTCCTAAGCAGTCAGTTGTTAATTATTTTATGTCCGTTTTGGAAGCAACACTTCTGCATAAGCTACAGTAAAAGAATGACTGTATCAGCTGCAAAGTCAAATTGATTAACCCAATGAAGCATCAGTAATTATAATCAATAATCTATTAATATAATAAACATTAATGTGAAATGTGACATTCTGCATAATTAGAAGCCCACTTTTACTGTTGGTATTCTAAGAATATTTTGATGCTAATGCTTTTGTGATTTATTTAAGTGTGGTGGAAAGACTTTATTGATCCCTGGTGGCGAATTCAAGCTACTAATTTGAATTAAAAAGTAGGTAAAATTAGCTCCACCTTTACCAGCTCCAACATTAAATGATAATGTATCAATAATCCAATAATTCACATTAATGTGAAATGTGTCATTTTACCAAAAAAAAAATTTAAAAATCTTCCCGGTACGCATTCACGATGCTTTTATTTTTAAAGATGAGAGCGGAAGTCGTGACTTTGTATTCCGGCGGACTCGACGGTGTCATCCTAAATCGCCTTATGGTTGCTGAGAATTCAACGGCTTTTCTATGACTGAGAATTTATTTCGATAAACGTACGGAGAGCTAAGGAACAGGAACTGCAACAGAGTTTTTCACCGTGGATATTTTGTTACACTTGAAGGCTCTATTATTAATTTAAAGATCTACTTCGTCCCCCTCCGGTGAGTTTCCTCTCCCTAAAAGATGAGCTCTCTTCAAGTTTCGTGCTATAACGGATATCCTCGTGTTCGACCAGTTCACATTTTATAACGATATAAATGTTGACTTGTACAAAGTTGGTCCCCGTAAATATTCTTTAAGCGCACCGTAACCTCATTTTGTAGCCTTAATTTGAGGTTACTTCCTCTTTTTTGCGTTTACTTTGGTGAATTAACGCGGGCCAACATTTTCAAGGTTGTAAAACTTCACATGTAGAAGCGATACGAGCCTGAGCTAGGCTTGTCCCGTTATGTAGACTACACCCACTAGCATGAACATGTCAGCAGCCTTTTGGCTGTGTCAAGAAAGAGGCTAATATTAATGACTTACCGAGTGAAACTCAGAAAAGATGCCATTTTAACAAGTTAAACTTCTGTATTTTAATGTTTTTGCTGTTTCGTTAAGTTGGGTAAGCTGGTTACGTTACATTGCGTCGTAACGGAAGCCAACTCTCGGCGGGTAAATAGACAAGATAACTGTTGTGGAGCACAGGCGCTGCAACTCAAATATTCAACGTTTTTATGTATGTATTTACATTTTACTAACCTTAACCATCACGTTGAGCACACTGTTACTGTATATAAAGTCACTGTTGAGATAATTGTACCACGTACATTCGAGGTGATTAATATATTTTTCAATCAACATTATCTTCTTTTTTTTTCTTTCTGCTTCTACTTCTTCTTCTTTCATTTACTAAAAGGGAGTACGCTCCAATATTAGTCTTGTATTGGGCCCTGGACTTTAAAATATTTATTGCAGTCGGATCAAACAACAAGAGGTGATTGATTGCATGCCACTTGAATGCCTTATGTAGTATTAAAATACTTTTCCCAAATTGAAGTTTTGAACAGGGCAGCTGATCATTCAACCAGATGTGTTGTGTGAAGATGGATAAAAGGTATTAAAGACAATGACAAATAAAGTGTAGTTGCTACAAGCCCCAGTGACGGAAAGCATCCCATCTGCTAAAGCGTCCTTGAGCAACATATCAGAGGCAAATAATGAAGTTTAATAACCCACCATAATAGAGTGGGCTACTCTGCTGTTGTCTGCTAATAGAACATTTTGTAAACTTAGACTGTGGTACAGAACCTATGACTGAGCAAAATACAATCAGACAATGCTAGGACATCCAAATTAAACTGTGGTGATACCATTAACTCATGGTTTCCCTAAATCATTTCAGGCTCATATAGTTCAACACAAGTCAGACTCAGTACCAAACGTTTTCGGGCTATTGTTCCAGATCAGATAAACCTGGTTCTGCGATGTGTGTTGCAGAAACAATCAGTAAAAGAAATCTGATTTAATTTAGTTAATTAGTTTTTTTTTTCTTCCTCCATTTGGATGAGGTGTGCCTGGGAATTAGTTTAATATCTTTTAATTGCCACAATAGTGGGCTAATTTAAGTGTGAGCATGACTGAAATTAATAATGTCTTGTTTTTATGTCACAGATATTTTAGTTTGATAACTGAGATCATTTTACAGTGTTTCCAGGAGTCACTATATGATAACTTGGCTGTCTTTCAGTTTTCTCTTTCACAGTAATTATGTTTTAAATACAGTAGTTATTGTATGTACACTTATGTAAAGTAGTAGTGCTTGTTAGGACTGAATGCAAAACCACTACTATTGTTTCACCCGTGTATACTGTGTGCCTAATGAAAACAAAATTCTGTTTTGCTTTCAGATCCTGTGACACAGGTGTTTTTGCCATCCTGTGACGGATTTATCCTCTCAACTTTCGGGTGTAAGGAGGAGAGGAAGCAAAGATGCCGAAACCGGTAAAAGACTGAAAGAGCTAGATGAACATTGACATAAAAGTACCAATGGCTTTTATTGTACTGTGCACAAATGTACAGAAATAAGTCAGGAAAAAAACACTTGAGTTAGGCACTGTTCCTTCTAATTGATGGAAAAAATGAGTTGCAATGTTGCACCTTATTAAACAGTAGCCCATGTAGGTCAGGATGTATGATATGAATCAGAAACATGAATCTTGTTTGTTTATTCCTGCCTAACCTGACTCTTTGGAGCAGCTCTCTAGTTGCCACAGTACTCAGCATGCACTGACTTCATGCACTTTGAGTAGTGCATGAAGTGGCAGTTTCATCCTTATGGCTGCTCCCACTCCTCATACTCCTCTTCCAAGTAAACAACAGCCAGACTGTGAAGTGAACTGCCTTGGCCCACAGGCCTTGCAACTGCAACACTGCTGCCATTGTTGCTTGAAGGGTGGAGAGAATGCTAAAGTCCTGAGATGTGAACATTGCCAAAACAAAACCAATTTGATGCAGTCCCTTCATGGCTGTCGGATTCCCACTGGTGCTATGTTGCTTTTTCATCATAAACAGACTTGGTGAGACATTGCACAAGTCTGGAGCTCCGCAGTTAGTTTACAGTGAGAGATTTTCAAGGTATGTTCTTGTTTTGACCGCTTGCTACTCTGTGCAGACAAAATATGACACAGCTGTTCTGAGTATTTGTCAGTGGTATGTGACCATCTCTGGTTTACTTGATGAATTTGAAACACAGCTTAGTTAGAGTTGTCTTATGGAAAGATTTCAGAGGCAAGTTGCTAAAGATTACATCAGAAACTTTCCTAGGATCTTGGAACAACAGGCCTCAGCTTTTGCCACAAGTGAGGCACAGCTCTTGTTGAGCTCCTTTCGATGTGGGGGTTTTTGAGACGCTACAGAAGAGGAGCAGCCAGGCACTGATGTCATCCTTCACTTCTCCCTCGTGCCTTGAGTCACAGAGGGACCATCTCAAAACAGCTCCTAGGATAGCAAAGTGATGAGAGCAGCATCTCTGTCACGGGCAGTAACTGATAGAGAAAGTACAGCTAGTTGTGGAGAGGCACTGACATAATAAACAGAGGAAGCAGCAAGGCCCATTAGGTCTGACCTTATCTGGGACTGATGCCAGACATCAGAACTTTTGGAGTAGGTCTTATGTGTCAGTGTCAGCATTCATCTGGCATAAAAACAGTTCAAGGCTGAGTACCAGAAGAGTTTGAACTAGCAGGGAGGTTGCTGAATTCATCTTCAAGTAGTGCTTTTTGCAGTAATCATCACAACTTTGTAAAATTTTAAAGCCACAGAAAGCTTTACTGTGAACAAAAGTTTTTTGCAGTCAGCCCTGTGTACATCCTGTGATGTTGTCTGGGCCAACTGGGTTAGTGGAAGGAAGGAGTTGCCGTGTTGACTCTCCCTGGGCAACATTAAAACTCTGTTTGCCGGTTGTGTTTGACCTGTCACCTCATTTATAATACAAAAGCTAGGTCCAGAATCAAGTAGAGCTAGTAAATCACTGGAAATGTTTCAGATCCTATCTGAACAACAGTCAAATGGGGGTCTTTTTTTGTTCTCTTGTGAACGGGGTGCTTTCCACAATGCATTCACCTGCCCTTCCCCAAAGGATGAATGTTTGTGTTTGTAGGCAATGGTGATTCCTCCTCTGCTCCCCTTCCGTTTCTCCCGTCCTCCGAGGATTGCCTCACCCTGCAGGGGGGTTAATCGGAGGGACAGACAGCTGCTCTGAGCCCAGCAGGCCTGATTAGCAGCTCTACTGATTGAAGTGTGTGTGTTTCTTAAGGCTGTGTTCAAACTGAGTTTCAAAGGTGTGGAAAAAACACAGTCCTCCATTAATTTCAATGGGGGATTGCATTTTAACACACTCAGTCTGAACACCCGATAAGGCCTCTCTCAGGAAAGCTCCTCTAAACAGCTGCACATTTAAAAAGGAACTTGCCTGAGTGAGAACTCGTCTTCACATGGAGAAGAAATGAAGAGAGGGATTTTGTAACATTCTGAAACAGCCTATTAAAAAAAAAAAAAAACAAGTGAACGATACAGCCACTGGATTTGACATGAATTGGACAACCTTTCACCATTGTTGGCACCACTCTGAACAGTGTTTGAAGTTCGAAAATAAAGGAAACAAACCAGCAGGAAAAAACCCACAGAAACGGAACTTGTCAAAATTTTGCTCAACATTGTCTCCATTTCTCTACTGTCACCCACTGGGGCTCAGTATCATGTGCTTTGATATGGACTCAGATTCACCCACAGTGCCCAGCAGATGCAGCTGTAAGGGGTTTTGGCTCTCTGCCAGAGATGGTCCTTTGCAAGTCTAGCCAGTGTGATAGAAGATGGAGAAGAAAGGAAATTTGGATGTTTTTCCGTTGCTAATATACACTGTCCAGGAAGTATTGTTATAAGATGGTGTGGGGTAGTAGTAATTAAGCAGAGTTAAGTACAGCCACAAAGCATCTCTTACCACATCTAAATGAGGTACAAATGTGTGCATGTAAATATGATCCATGTCTGCAAACTTGGCTGCTGGAGAACAGGCTTCAGCAGATGCTGCCGGTATTAAACTAGTTTTAAGTCCTTTTTATAAAGACACTGCACCAAACTTGTGGTGTTTTGACCCTCCATCAAGACGACTGTTTTGATTTAAGCCCTTTTTACACTTAATTTAAAAAGCCAGCAAACTGCTGCCCCTGTGTTGCATTTTACACAGCTGCTGGAATCCTGGTACTGCCTTTTATACAGTGGTGAGGCAGAAAACTCCTGTGTTGAATGAGCAGTGTAAAAGGGGCTTTAGAGTTTACCTGTTGCTTTCAGGATCTATTAAGGCATGTCATTTAATTTCATATCATGCCGTGCAGTCTTCCTTATATGGCGTAAGTGCATTGCATTGAACAAACACCTGAATTTGCAGGTAGTACATCTTTGTTTGAACCATACTGTTGGAGTAAATCTTGTTTTGAGCCATGCCACTGCCTCTGCATTTTGTTGTCCCTCTTCTCCTCCCCCTCTCTCTGCAGGAGAGAGAGGATTATCTGACCGTCTAGTTCACACAAGATATTCCTCCTGTCTCTCCTATGTGGTTTGGCCATGTTTTGCCAGTGACACATATACACATACGGAGTACAAAGGTTGACTCTTTCACTGCTGATCACTGATGACAATGGCAGACAGGTCCTACACAAATGCAGCTGAGGGGATGTTTTAGGCTGCTCACTGAGAGACCCCAGCTCAGAACCTCTCCTGTCTCAAAAAGTCAGTGAAGCAACCACTCTTGAAACTTCTTCTGTCACTTAACAATGAACAGGTTATTTTGCTGATGTGGCAGAGGTTTGTTTTGTGCACTTGGATTGTAGCTGGAGATGTTTCCATAGTAGTTAAAGGTATTATCCTAGCTGGCTTCTTTTAGTGTGACCGACTGCTGCACAATCTTCACACAAAACAATCTCAACACTTGGTTGATGTGTGTTTGCTAAATAAGGTTCACTGAGGACAAAAGTCATCCTTTTGTGAAACAATTACTTCTTCTGCTCCTGCAGATACTGTAACTGGCATACATTGCAATGTGCGTTCATTTTTCTGAATATGGATTAAGCAGTGGTGTAAAAATAAAGTGCCTCTCTGTGTGGAATCTTCATTGAAAGACATGAGAATCAGGGAGAGGGATGAAGGCAGGAGAGACGATGAGAAATAAGAGGGAGGGAAATGCAAAGTCAGCATTCCTGAGGTTCAGTGTGTAATTGCTCAGAGGAAAAGAGGGGTTCACTGTCTCAGTTTCTTCTGTGGCTCATTTCCTGTCCCTCCATTTTCTTATCGTTCGTTCGTCTACACTAATCTTGCAGTAACTTCATCTCTAAGCGAGCTCACCATAGATCATCTCTCTTACTTCCTGTTGCGCTCTATCGCCCTCACTCTTTTTTCTTCTCACTTCTTGCATTTTTGCTAGACTTTGTGCCGTTGCACTTTGCCTCTGATTGTGCTTCTAGTCTTCCTCTGTACTTTCATCTTTATAACCACCGCTGAGGCAACAGTCATCTCGGTGTGCATAGGTGTGGGAGGAAGGATGTCAGATGCCTCAGAAGTCAGCCCCACTCTGTTCTGTTCCATTAGCTGCTGCTAGATCTGCTGCCAGTGCTGCTTAATAAGGCCCAGCCAATGAATGAGTTATCCTCTGTTCCACCCCGGCCAATGAATGAGTTATCCTGTGTTCCACCCCGGCCAAGGTCCTTAAGTAGAAGACTGCCTTGAAAGATGGAGCTTGCTCATCCGGACCGTTTAGGGTGGAAAGAGGGAGAGAGACATGAGTTTGCACAGTTCCTTTAGTAAACTGTGGTTAGGATTGTGGGAAATTCACACACACTGATCTGACATTCTTCCATTCTCCTGTGTAGGAGTTCTGTAATTTCCTGCAACATTGTCGCTCAACTGAGAAAGAGCTAGATGTCAGTACCTACAGTCATGTGAAAAAATTAGGACACCCTTTGAAAGCATGTGTATTTTGTAACATGTTTTAATATATGGTTATTTAATCTCAATTTTAACAATACAGAGAGATTAAAGTAATACAACTAAACAAGTAAAACTGAAGAAAAGTCTTTTCAAGATCTTCTGTAAATGTAATTCTACAAAAATGCCTATTCCAACTGAGGAAAAAGTTAGCACACCCTAGCCCCTAATAGCTAGTGTTACCTCCTTTGGCTGAAATAACTGCAGTGAGACGGTTCTTGTAGCCATCTAATAGTCTCTGACATCGGTCTGAGGGAATTTTATCCCACTCCTCAATGCAGAATTGTTTCAGCTGTGAGATGTTTGAGGGGTTTCTTGCATGTACAGCCCTTTTCAAGTCACCCCACAGCATCTCAATGGGATTCAGGTCTGGACTTTGACTCGGCCATTCCAGGACTCTCCATTTCTTCTTTTTCAGCCAGTCTTTGGTTGATTTACTAGTATGTTTTGGGTCATTGTCATGTTGCATGGTCCAGTTCCGCTTCAGCTTTAATTTTCTAACCGATGGTCTCACATGTTCTTCAAGCACCTTCTGATACACAGTAGAATTCATGGTGGATTCTATGATGGTGAGCTGACCAGGTCCTGCTGCAGCAAAGCAGCCCCAAACCATGACACTTCCACCTCCATGCTTCACAGTTGGTATGAGGTTCTTTTCCTGGAATGCTGTGTTTGGTTTACGCCAAACATGTCCTCTGCTCTGGTGTCCAAATAATTCAATTTTGGACTCATCTGTCCAAAGAACATTATTCCAGAAGTCCTGGTCTTTGTCAACATTCTCTCTGGCAAATGTCAGTCTGGCCTTGATGTTTCTCTTAGAGAGCAAAGGTTTCCTCCTTGCACGCCTCCCATGCAAGTTAAACTTGTGCAGTCTCTTTCTGATTGTAGAGGCATGCACTTCTACATCAACAGTAGCCAAAGCCTGCTGTAGGTCTCGAGATGACATTTTAGGGTTTTTGGAGACCTCTTTTAGCATCTTGCGGTCTGCTCTGGGGGTGAACTTGCTGGGGCGACCAGACCTGGGCATGTTGGCAGTTGTTTTGAAAGCCCTCCACTTGTAGACTATCTTCCGGACAGTGGAATGGCTGATTGATCTACTAATTATGTGCACCTGGTGTGATATACCTGTGTGTGATTTGAGCCATTTTAAGAGGGCATACATGTGAGGGTGTGCTATCTTTTTCCTCAGTTAGAATAGGCATTTTTGTAGAATTACATTTACAGAAGATCTTGAAAAGACTTTTCTTCAGTTTTACTTGTTTAGTTGTATTACTTTAATCTCTCTGTATTGTTAAAATTGAGATTAAATAACCATATATTAAAACATGTTACAAAATACACATGCTTTCAAAGGGTGTCCTAATTTTTTCACATGACCACTGTGCCGTGGCACATAAGTGTGCCGTGAGAAATCATCAGGTGTGCCGTGGAAGATTATCCAATTTCACCTGATTTGTACTCTAAGCCAGCGGCGTGTAGTGACGGGGCAGAACAATTGCATGCTCTTCCACTAGAGGGCAGTATCGCGCTAAATACGAAAGTACATAGTCATGCTGTGAGTGGTCAGAAGAAAGCAAAAAAGGTGAGCTCAAGACAATACAATGAAAGTCATCTTGCCTTTGGATTCACTTATATTCGGAAACCAACCAAGCCAATTCCGCTGTGCCTGGTGTGCGGGGAAAAATTGTCAAACAGTGCCATGGTTCCAAGTAAACTTAAATGCCATCTCCAGACAAAACACCCATCACTTCAAAATAAGAACATGGACTATTTCGTTCAACTGCGTGAACAGACTGAGAAACAGGCAGCATTAATGAGGAAAACTACCAAGACGAGTAAGAAAGCACTTAGAGCTAGCTACCAAGTTGCTGAACTCATCGCTAAATCAAAACAGCCACAAACCATAGCAGAGGCATTAATACTGCCTGCCTGCAAAATTGTCTTAAAAGAGATGCTTGGCCCCCTCTCAAATAATACAATTTCCAGACGTATTGAAGACATGTCTGCTGACATTGAAAAGATGGTTTTGGAAAAGTTGCACATTAGTGGGAAATTTGCATTTGCTTTGTAGATAGACATCATTGGAGAAATCTTTCTGTTTTGCAAGGAATTGCCAGAAAGAACAACAGGAAAGGAAATTTTTTACCTTGAACAAGAAGGACTGAAGTGGTAAAACTGCGTAAGTGTTTGCACCAATGGAGCAGCTGCCATGCTCGAGAGCACCAAAGGATTTGTAAACAAAGTGAAAGAGCAACATCCAGATGTCATTGCAGCGCATTGTTTTCTGCACCGGGAAGCACTCGTTGCCAGACCTGCACTGGAAGATGTTGTGCGCATGATAAACTTTGTGCAAACGATACCTGTAAAAAGTCGCATGTTCACATCACTGTGTGAGGAAATGGGAGTGCAACATAAAGTGTTATTGCTCCACATGGAGGTTCGGTGGCTGTCCCGTGGCAAAGTTTTAGCCTGTGTATATGAGCTGTGGGAGGAACTGAAAGTGTTTTGACAAATGAGAAGCATGATGACGCTAAGTTGCTCTCAAGTGATGAATGGTGTTCAAGACTGGCATATCTGGCAGATACAGTATATTTCAACATCTGAATGACCTGAACACACGAATGCAAGGCCGAAATGAAAACCTGCTCACAAGTACAGATAAAATAAAGAGATTTTGTTCAAAGGTGTAGCTCTGGAAACAACATGTGTAAAGTGCCAACCTTAACATGTTCCCACACACTCAGAAATGGCAGGGTGTCAACAGTGCTGCACTGTGTGAAACAATAGGTAAACATCTGCAAAGTCTTGAGTAGAAATCGTCATGTTATTTCCCTTCACTTTCCACTGATTGCGTTGACTGGGTTAGGAACCCATACAGCTCAACTGCAGTTGGAAAGGTCTTTGCAGAAGCAGGAAGAAATAACTGAACTGAGACAAAATCGTGGTCTAAAACTGAGCTTTGCTGATATACCTTTGGATAGTTTTTGGCGGACTGCTGCCAAGGAGTTCCCTATTCTGGCAAACAAAGCTATTTCAGTTCTGCTCCCTTTCTCCACAACCTATCTATGCAATGTGGGCTTTTCAAGCATGACTGCTATAAAGACGAAAAAAAGAGAGAGACTCAGAGCTGTTGAGGAAGATCTTCGTGCGTGTCTTTCTTCAATTCCTGCAAGAATATCTGCTTTGGGTTCAACTAAACAGGCCCAGGTTTCACACTGAGTAAATTGAGACTAGATCTTCATTAAATTTCAATAAATATACTTTTTGTGACATTTTTGTTTGGTGATGTGCCTTGTGATTTTTTTTGTTTTTGTTTTACCCGCTTAAATCAAAGAGCTTAAATGTCCAATGTAGTTAACCTTTTTTTGTGCTGAGGAGTGAGTGTTTTTTACAGAAAGGGTTGAATGGTTGGCTACTGGAACACTGTATCAACAGGAAATCTGTTTGTTTTAACAAAAACATAACTGCACCTCCAAGCAAAGCTAAAAATAAAAGCTTGTGATGAGTAATTTTGCTTGATTGTTGATGGAGATTAGTGGATGTTTAGTTGAGATCAGCAAATGGTAATTGTAATGGGCCTAGTGCAGAGGTAGGAATCATGTTATTACAGTGTGGCAGTAATTGTCCCAAGCACATTTAGCCATTCAACTTGTCCAGAAACTGACCTGATTTAAACAGAACAGTATGTAGAAAACTTGCTCTTGGTTTTACGACCTCAGGTGGTAGTGCTCTATCTGACGTGTTGATGTAAAATCTTTGCCTGTGTTAATATGATAAAGTAAACACTTTGATATGTTTGTTTTCTAGATCAATGTCCGTGTGACCACTATGGATGCAGAGCTGGAGTTCGCCATCCAGCCTAATACCACAGGAAAACAGCTCTTTGACCAGGTTAGTAAAAGTGACGATGTTTTCCTTTGGGGGGGTATCCTTGTTATCATTTTCTTTATTGTTTTGATCATCTGCTAAAGTTGTGTATGTATGCATCCTGGTGGTGGAGTGATTTAAAATGCTTTCTACATAACCATGATGTTCCTGGTTCAGTTCTGACTGGGGACATCTGTCACCACTGTCTCTCTTGCCACATATTTCCTGCCAGTTTACACTGTCAACTGTCAAATGAAGGCAAAATGATATTTGTAGCATGTGTAAGGACTCCGGTTAATTTAATTCTGTTTTGTTCTCAGGTTGTGAAGACAGTGGGTCTGCGGGAGGTCTGGTTCTTTGGACTCCAGTATGTGGACAGTAAAGGCTACATCACCTGGCTCAAACTCAATAAGAAGGTCAGACTCCCTTTGCTTTAACCATCTCCTTTGTCATAACCACCACAAAACACACGTAACTGTTTTTCCATTTAAATGCTTGCAGGGCAGGGCAGAGTTTCTTCTAACAAGAAGGGCTGCAATGGAAACTATTTTGCATGTGTGTGAGTGCCAGCAGTGCACATATTTACAGCCCAGCCCATTAGCATATGTCCCTAAATGTCAATAAATCAGTTCTGACTGATAGTGACCACATTACAGAAGAGTTAGGTGAAGAATAGGCTTGTTTATCTTATCTGACCAATACAGGATTTTTAAGAGTTGTGAGACATTTTACAGCTGAGAATTAAAAATGTCTGTGCTCATGAGCAAGCTTGGAAATTGTGACCGTTTATAAAGTACCTCAGACATAATTTATGCGTTTCTGTGTTGTGGCATGGTGATTAGTGCTGCCGCCTCACAGCAAGAAGGTTCTGGGTTCGAGCCATATTGGTGACAGCTGATATGAAAGTGTAAACAAAGCAAAATATGTTTCCTACCTGTACACCCACCCCCTGAATAGCTGTGGCAGTGAGTTTGTTCTGTTAGTTAATACAATAGGTGCATGGATGATGATGCTGTTGTCTTCATCCTCCAGGTGACCCAGCAGGATGTGAAGAAAGAAAACCCTCTGCAGTTTAAGTTCAGAGCCAAATTCTTCCCTGAGGACGTCTCAGAGGAGCTGATCCAGGAGATTACCCAGAAACTGTTCTTTCTGCAGGTAACAAAAACCACACCAAGTTTTCATATGGAGTGTAGCTGTATTTCCAGAAAATCTACAAAACAAAAGGCAAATTAATGTGCTCCATCCACTAGCATTTGGAAATATTAAGTACTGGGTACAAACAGCTTCTAGTGCCAATTCTCCGGTCAAGTGCCACTATACCATTGCAGAAGGAGGTAATGGGATAATGTAATGAATATTTCACCACTTAAATCTCATGTAGAAAACAGGGATTTGAGTTTATTTCATGGAGTCACTTCTCTTTATTGGTCCACACTGATTGTTTCCCCCCCAATTTTTGTCTCTTCAGTTGAAGCTTGAGTGAGTTTAGGTTGCATGCTTCAAGTAATGATTTATTTATTAAATCAGGTTCCATTGCACGTTGTCAAGTTTAGTTTTTAATTATACACCAACTTTCCCACCAGAGCTGAGCGTAAAAACCTCGTTTCTTTTTCGATATTTCAGTTTTTTCCTTTTGGGTTCATATGTTTCCACTGTGCCTAAAAACAGGTGGATGAAAATGCCTTTACTTGCACAAATGGACATCATCACGCTTCTAACAAGATAAATGCGTCTGGGTGAGGTTTTAACTTCTGAAGCTTTGCTCACTGCTGAACACCAAATGAAAGTATGAAGTAACAGTAAAAATGGCTTTGAAGAAATGCAGTTAATACTTAGTCATTTCGAAAAGGACCCCATTACCCTGATATAGCTCTCACTTTGCGCTTGACATAAGGTAACCACACCTTGTAAATTGTCAGCTGAACTGATTTGAGTGAGCCCCTTCTCTCTCTCTCTGTGGTTCTGCCAGGTGAAGGAGGCCATCCTGAACGATGAGAACTACTGTCCCCCAGAGACAGCTGTGTTACTGGCATCATATTCTGTCCAGGCCAAGTATGGAGACTACAGCAAAGATGTCCACAAGCCTGGCTACCTTAGCCATGACGGACTGCTGCCTCAGAGGTAAACTTCCCCAGCGACTCCAAACCTTCCATTGACCAAACTGCTACACACTCTGGGAGGCGTCCCTTCAGTTTTCTCACACCAGCTCTGCCCTGGAATGTGTCTCATTCCCTGTTGATTTCCTCTAGAGGAACCGGTCATTTAATAGTCATTTTGTGTGTGCATAGAGTCCTGGAGCAGCACAAGTTGACCAAGGAGCAGTGGGAGGACAGGATTCAGACCTGGCATGAAGAACACCGAGGAATGCTCAGGTGTGTGTCAAACTTGCCTTATTGCTTTCTTCGCTTGAAAGCCACTGAGTGAGACAAACTCAAATTTTATTTATGAGTGTATGTGTTTGGACTTGTGGCAGTATCATTATGCAGCTACCTACTGAAGAGGGCTGAGAGTGTTGACCTGGTTTATATGGGCATGTTGACTTTATTGTATGATATTGTGGCCTTTTTATTTTAAAATTTTAAATTTACACAGATTAATTCCTCTTACAGATATGTTAATATTTTTTTTTAAAATGTGTGATCTAAAATATTCCTGCTTTTCCTCTCCTTCAGAGAGGATTCGATGATGGAGTATCTTAAAATCGCCCAGGACTTGGAGATGTACGGAGTCAACTACTTTGAGATCAAAAACAAGAAGGGCACACAGCTGTGGCTGGGTGTGGATGCCCTCGGCCTCAACATCTATGAACATGAAGACAAGTAAGGCTCACACACAGATTCAGTGGGCTTATTTACAAATGTGTCATGTCATCTTAACGGTTTGTGTTATACCTGCTATCTCTATGAGCTTTGGCACAAAATCAGAGCCAAGCTGACTGTTAATTTAACACGAAGAAGAAAGACATTCAGATTTTATAGAAGTGTGTGGAACGGAGTGGCTCCGTCACAAGTAACTGATGAAGACCAGAGTAGCTCCGTCACGGATGGCTGACGAAGTATATAGGCTACAAAGACATACATGCACACCTACAAATGAATCTACAATGTAGTTAAGTTGTATTATTACTTACCGGGTTTTCGTGCTGTTTGAGTGTTTGTCGTCGTCTGTTTGTCGAGCAGGAGCTGTGGGTTCAAACATTGCTGCTGTTATTGAGGTTGTTAAATATGGTTATGTGTGTGCCACGTGAGTAAATGTCACTGACTTAATTGGTAGGGGGCAGGGCCTTTGGTATTAAAGGCGAATTGGGTTCTAGCTTCAAGTAGTTGTTTCTGAGCTGCATAGAAGGCCATACCAGTTCTGCTGATAACTGCAGTGCTACTTGGTGTGTGTTTTTTGAAGAATGATTTTAAACTCTTTGTAAATATCTAAATTTCTCTGTTATTCTACCGTGCACTTTGGGAGATGAGCACAATAAATTATTGTTTTGCACTGCATTTATGACTACGCCATCCTTTATTTTATCCTTCAAGAAGAACCCCGTCACAGTGTGGAATTAATATAAGCAGTTCGTGGCAACTTTTGTCAGACAGGGTGAGGTGGATGTATCGCATTTATTTTCAGAATAAAATGAAGTCAACTAATGCGGTGCTTTTGTCTTCTTGTATCTTCCCTTTTCTGGATCTTTGTGGATTGAATTTTAACTGTTTAGTGTTTAGCTGGTCTGAATGAGACATGTTAGAATTTAAAAACAAAATTTGTTCTTGCTGGTGGTGACACAGTTTCAGAATTGCCTCAAACTAGTCTTACATTCTTATAATGCATTTTTATATTGGATATTAACTTAGATATTACCTGTCTGCTAGGGCTGGGATTTGATGGCATGTTATCAAATCTGAATCTAATTCTGGATCTACTTATCAAATCTGAATCTTTTCTTATGTTATGAAATATAATATAAGTTCTTTAACATGGTGGACGCTAGGAAACAAAGGATGGGTTGTTCCTCCTTTCTCCGTGAGTACTGACATGCAAATACTAGTTTTTGCAGTTTCTTTGACTGCAGAGTGATTAAGCAGGTCTGCCATGTTTGGTTATGACAGCCTCTCACCCCCCACTTTTACATAACATGTAATAGGCTACGTAGCCTAACATAACATATACAACAGTTTCACAAAGTTATCACCAGTTTGTAAATGTTTTCTTCTTGGCAACACCTGTATTATCAGAGATGCCAGAGAGTCTAAACTAAACGGAGAATATGAATGACAGGTTCGATAAGAGATTCGTTTGGCCATGAAACTTAAAGAACTTCGTTATTTCATCAACTTGGAACCGGATCCAAAGTAGAACCAGCTATCGGAGCCCAGCCCTAGTCTCTGCTGCGCTAGCTCTACTATTCTCTCACTTTGTGAAGGACTCAGTGCCGCCATAAGAAACATAATGGAGTTTAGAGAATTATATTTTTGGAAACTGTGTGAGAGGTGGAGAAAGGGAGATTGTCCATAGTAGGAGTGTCTTTCCTGATCAGATTTTTTCCTCATTTGTGGAATAAAGGACAGATTTAATCTCTACTCTGATAGCATTTCCTCTTAGTGTCTCCCTGCTTTGCCCTTCCTCTCTGTTATCTTGTTCATCACTGCTGCCGTCCCTCCTCCCTTGTTCATGTGACAATGGAGGGACATAAGGGATGGTTTCTTTGTCTCACTGTAAGCAACAACCTCTTCATCATTTTTTTGTCCTCTCTCTATCTTTGTTTCTTTTTGATCAGACAACACCCGCTTTCCTGTCAAATGTTAGCAGGAGGCGATATTTTGAGTTTCACCCTCCTTTTTGTTTCCTACTGTTAGGTTATTTCTTAGTTAGATAGATATTCAGAGATTTTTTGTCTAGAAATGTTTAGTGGAGACAGGTTGACTAGCTCAGGCTGTTAACTGGTCAGGTTAATGTGCTTGCAGTGCAGACTGCAAGCAGGCCAAGGTTGCAGGCAAAGAGCTGTTAGTATTAACTGTAATGCTAATCTTAATATTTGTCTTAATGTGAAATGTCATGTCAAATTGTTCTAGATACACACCACAAAACAACAGCCACACACCTTGACTTTTCCTCATGTTTTGGCTAACGTTATAGTCAGCTGCAAGCTGGCATATCAGGTGACGTCACCTGATATAACCAGCACGGTTATTTTTTATAAAATCTAAAGCAGTCTACTTTGTCTTATTGTGAGTTCCTGGTTTAAAAGAGCCGGAAGAGGCTTCATAGAGAAACAGAAGCTTATACTACCACGACTCTAACCTGCTTCTCTGGAAATATGAAATTGAAAAAGACTATTAATCCTGTAATTTGTGCAAGCTAGTCTGCATATCAAAGCCCCAACTGCTGGCTGTATTTTATAAGTCTTGCAACCACTAACAGTGTAATGTCCTTCGTATATCCTCAGAAGTATGAAGTGCACACCCTTAACCATAGTTTTCTGTTTTTCCCAGGTTGACACCGAAGATCGGCTTCCCCTGGAGTGAGATTCGAAACATCTCTTTTAATGACAAGAAGTTTGTCATCAAACCCATTGACAAGAAATCACCTGTGAGTAAAATTCATCTGCTGTATTTATACAGGAATCATGTCTTGCTTCACAATAAAAGAAACATTTTATGCCCCCCCCCCCCATATAGGACTTTGTGTTTTATGCCCCTCGACTGCGCATCAACAAGCGTGTCTTGGCATTGTGTATGGGCAACCATGAGTTGTACATGAGGAGGAGAAAGCCCGACACCATCGAGGTGCAGCAAATGAAGGCTCAGGCCCGGGAGGAGAAGCACCACAAACAGATGGAAAGGTGCCGCAGAGGAACACAATGCCACATAAACATTTTGTTTGATTATGCTCATATAGTCTTTTGGAAAAGAAAGTTTGATAGTTTATAAGCACAAAATTTCTAGTTCAAAATGCACAATACTTCTACTTCACTAATATAAATAAAATGGCTATCAAAGCTTATCAGACAAAAGTTTAAACTGTAGTCTTAGTGTATAGTGATCAAAGAAGCTGAGAGAAGGTCTCTGCTGAAGGGCAGTCCTCCCTCCACACATGCTGGAGGCAGGAGCATCTGATTTTAGTTTGTTTTATTTAGTTAAATTTGCTTCAGATCAGGGTAAGATGTTTGTATTTGTTACTGCCGCATAGTATAGACCGGTTTCTCTGTTGTCACAATTTTCAAAAATCCTGGAAAAACTCTTTAATAACAGATTAGATACATTTATTGACAAACATAAAATCCTCTCTGATTGCGAACGGTTTTAGGTCGAACCGATCAACATCTTTGGCCCATTACCGACCTGATGGAGGACATTACAAGTGCTATGGATGAGAAAAAATACACGATAGGAATATTTATTGACCTAAAAAAAGCATTTGACACAATCAATCATGAATTATTAATGGACAAATTAGAAAAATATGGGATCAGAGGAATGGTTCTGAAATGGATTAGAAGTTATTTGACACAGAGGCGTCAATTTGTGAAGTTGGGTGAATACCAATCGAGTGAGCTGGATATTGTATGTGGAGTGCCTCAGGGTTCTGTTTTGGGACCTAAATTATTTATATTATACATTAATGATATATGCAAGGTTTCTGATTTAGTGAAAGTGGTTTTATTTGCTGATGACACTACCATATGGGCATCGGGTGAAAACCTACAGCAACTCTCTCGACGGGTTACACAGGAACTTGAGAAGATAAAGAAATGGTGTGATAGTAATATACTATCTCTGAATATGGATAAAACTAAATTTATGGTATTTAGGAATCGTAGACTAGATAATGAACTGCAATTGAAAATTGGGGGAGCTAATATAGAACGAGTATATGAAATAAAATTTCTAGGTGTCATAGTTGATGACAAATT